ACACCATTTTACAGTCGAGGAAACTGAGGTGCAGAGATATTAACCACTTGACTGGCACTTGTTCATATTTGTAGCTAGTTAGCGGTGGAGTGGAAACTCCGTAACGGGGGTATTTGACTCCATGGTTAGTATCCTTAGCCCTTATGCTAATGAGGGTGTCGTAGGCCCATGAAAGAAGGAAGGTTCATTTTTTTTTTAGGATAAACAGTGTATTAGTTTGCTAGGGCTGCCATAACAAAGTACCACCAACTGGGTGGCTTAAGCTACAGAAACTTGTTGTCTCATAGTTCTGGATGCTCAAAGTCCAAGATCAAGGTGTCAATGGGGCTGGTTACTTTTGAGGGCCGTGACGAAGGATCTGCTCCAGCCTCTCTCCTTGGCTTGTAGATGGCCATCTTCTCCCTGTGTCTCTTCTCATGGCCTTCCCTCTATGTGTGTCTGTCTCTGTGTCCAAATTTCCCCTTTTTATAAAGACACCACTCTAACGACCTCATTTTAACTTTTTTACCTCTGTAAAAAGACACTGTCTCCAAATATGGTCACGTTCAAAGGTGCTGGCGGTTAGGACTCTAACAAATCTTTTTGGAGGACATAATTCAATTCATGACAGGTGACTGTAGGAGCCAACTTCGTCTGGCCATTGAGTGACAGTTATCTCACTTTCTCCTCAGTGCCACTAATTCTATTGACAACCTACATCAGGGATGACTTGTACACAACTGTCCCCCTTTCCTGATTCCATAGCAGACATCATTAATTGATCACAGAGCTGTTTTATTGAGCCTGGATGTGGCCTCAGAATCCTTCTAAACACAGCTGTCCCGGTACCTACTCCTGATCTATTCATCATCCCTGACCTAGGCCTTTATTCTGCTTGGTTCAACTCTATTCCCCCTGCTTGGACGTGCCCTCAAAGCTCAGTTCAAGTGTCTTCTTTCTCCCTCTGTAAAGCTTTCCCTGATTACTCAAGCAAAGAGTATCTCTTCTTCCATGGGCCCCAACAGCACTAGTTCTGGAATTTTCCCTGTAGGAAGGGCTTTCATTGGAAGAAAGGGACCTGATAGGATGTATTTGTATAAACTTTGCCCAGGAGTCAGACAAGCTCAATTGTTTACCTCAAAGTAAGGGAGGTGGGCTGATGGGGAGGGGGAGGCAAGGCCCCTCACCCCTTTGTCACCCTCTGTCACCCTTGGTACTAAGGACTCACTTGATTTATCTCATTTTGTTACATCCTCACAATGATCTGTTTCCCTGTGTAGATGAAGAGAACTTCTGTCAGACGGAAATGACAAGTCAACCTGTTTTGCCTTTGAAGGAGGCCTGTGGCCTGTTTCTCGGGTGGTTTGAGGGGAGGGTGGGCCTTCCCCGGAGCTGAAGAGAAACATCTTCCTCTCCTTCAGGCACCGGAGAGCGAGCAGTCGTGTTTTTTTTGAGGAAGACTGGCCCTGAGCTAACACGTATGGCCAAACTTTCTCTTTTTCTTTTTTCTCCCCAAAGCCCCAGTACATAGTTGTGTATCATAGTTGTAGAGCTGTAGCTCTTCTATGTGGGACGCCGCCTCAGCATGGCTTGATGAGTGGTGAGTAGGTCCATGCCCAGGATCTGAACCTGCGAACCCTGGGCCGCTGAAGTGGAACACGCGAACTTAACCACAACGCCACTGGGCCGGCCCCGAGCAGTGGTATTTTTTAAGACTAGGCCCTCCCTGCTCTTGAAAAATGGGGATCTCAGCCTTTGGCTTGCTAATGATTTGGGCTCTGGGTTTTAGTATCAGATGGAGATTTTTCCTGAATGGCTATAGAGGGGAGGGGTGGAAAACAGGAGGGAGGGGCTGATCCTGGAGGAGTAGAGCCTGGAGGAGGTGGGTTGAATAGCAGTCCCTAAAAGATATATCCACTCTGAATCTCAGAATGTGACTTTGTTTGCAAAAAAGGGTCTTTGTAGATGTAATTAAGCTAAGGATCTTGAGATGGGATTATCCCGGATTCGGGTGGACCCTCAATTCAATGAGTATCTTTATACGAGACAGAAAAGAAGACACAGTCACACAGGAGAGAAGGTGACATGAAGATGAAGGGAGGGATCAGGGTGATGAGTCCACAGATGTGAAGGTGGAGGCAGAGATCAGGGTGAGGAGTCCACGTGCTAAGGAACACCAAGGAACACCAGGTGCTGAGAAGGATTCTCCCTCAGAGCCTCAGAAGGAGTGTGGCCCTGCCGATACCTCGATTTAGGAATTCTGACCTCCAGAACTGTGAGAGAATCTATTTCCGCTGTATTCAGACACTAAGTTTGTGGTAATTTGTTACCACAGCCCCAGGAAACAAACACACTGGCAATAATTTTTGTTGACCTGGCAGTTGTTAAGACCATGATGGAAAGACTTCAGGCGAGACAGGACTATGATGCTCACAGCAAAGGTCTGTAAACTGGGGTGCGTTTTTTGTGCCCCTTCACAGCTTCCCAAGATCTGGGTCCCATCTTCTGCCAAGACTTCTCTGAGTTTGCCATCCACCGCGTTAGATCCTGGCGTGGCCTCAGGCTGAGGGCCTTTGTGAGAGAACACAAAAGAACACACCTTTGGTGGGAGGCTAAGGGCTGTGGGGCAGTTCCGGGAGCTGGTGGGAAGGAGCAGAGTGGGTGGTTGGGAAGGAATAGAGAAGGAGGCCGGAGCCCTGAAGACTGGAGTCCCCAAAAGTGAGGCTGCTGTCCCAGTCAGGCTGCGTATCGGGCGGAGAGAAGGTCTATGAGGGATGCTGCCGAAATGCCCCACGGCTGGTTGGCTTGGAGCCCTGGGCACCTGACTACAAACGGTTCCTGTGGGTCAGCACAGTCCCTGAAATTCCCCTACTGAGTCCTCCTGGAAGAGCTGGGAGGGGTGGACCCTACAGCAGTTACAACTCAGTCTTCTTTTTATAAATGGCATCCACGATGCATGGTCAGCTACAAGCGATTTCAGTTTTCTAAAGGCACAGCGAGAACTTAAAGACGCTTGTGAAGCAATCTGAATACATAAGCCTAGATTTCTATGATATTTTCTCTTAACTTTTTCTAGTTGCCTTGCCCACATCTATTTCTACAATGTATTTAAAGCAAATTACCCTTATGGAGTCTTCAAATCAGATACCTTCAGATTACTTTCAAAATTTTTCCTGTTCGTATTTCAGAGGTTGAATAATATTTAATTCATTTGCAGGCACACTGGCATAAATGGGTTTGAGAACATACACAGTTGATTCGCAGTCATCATCCAACTCACCCAGGGGGCGGAGGCGGAAGTGAGCTTGCGACTACACCGGAGCTTCTCAAGCTTTCTTGTGCACAGGAACTATCGGGGGGTCTGGTTCAAATGCGGGTTCTGACTCGCGGACGTGAGCTGGGGTGTGCAGTTTTGTATTGCTAACCCCCCAGGCGATGCTGATCCTGCTGGTCTGGGGACCACACTTTGAGGAAGGAGGCGGAGAGAGCACATCTCAGCCGTGGCGACAGTCACCATGTTCTCCGGGAGCGAGGGGGAGCCCTGCTTAACCAGACAGTGGTTACTAGAGGTGGTTAGGAGGACCCTGCATTGAGCTGATTTCTGCTCTGTTCCTATCCTTTCTCCCTTGGTTCCAGTTCTGGCCTTGGAACCATGAAGAATAAATGGTTAAGTGACTGTAAACTTCATGAGGACAGCATCAGCTCAGTGCATGGTATGTAGTTGGAGCTCCTTAAATTTTTAATTTTCCTCAGGTTTATTGAGGTATAATTTACATATAGTAAAAGTCACTTTAAAAAGTGTACAGTTCAATGAGTTTTGACAATATCTATAGTCGTGTAACAGGCACAATTAGGACATAGCACACTTTCTGCAACAAAAAATATTTCCTTAAGTCCTTTTGTAGTCAATTCCCTCTCCCCACTCCTAGTCCCTGGTAACCACTGATTTGATTTCTGTTCTTATAGTTTTGTATTTTCTGGAATATCATATAAATTAAATTATACAAATTGAGTCTGGCTTCTTTCACTTATCATAATGCTTTTGAGATTCATTCATATTGTTGCACACATCCGTGGTTCACTGTTTTTATTGCCAAGCAGTATTCCATCCTATCCATTCATTGGTCAACAGATTTTTGGGTTGTTTCTAGTTTCCATTGGTTAATAGCTTTTTGGGTTGTTTCTAGTTTAGGCTAATATAAATAACGCTGCCACAAACATTTGAATATAAGACTTTGTGTGGTCATATGTGGAGAAATCTCTTGGGTAAATATCTAGGAATGGAATTGCCGGGTTGTAAGGTAAGTGTAAGTATGACTTTATCAGAGTGGCAAAAGGTTTTCCGAGAGAGTTCCAGTTGCTCCACATTCTCACCCCCTCTTGGATTGTCAGTATGTTTAATTTTAGCCATTCTAGTAGGCGTGCAGTGTTGTCTCATTGTGGTTTTCATCTGCATTTCTTCAGTGGCTAATAGTGTTGAGCATCTGTCCACATGCTTCTTTGCCATCCATATATCTTTCCTGGTGTGGTATCTGTTCAGATTTTTGCCCATTTTTAAATTGGATTCTTTGTCTTATTGTTGAGTTGTAAGAGAGTTCTTTACGTATTCTAGATAAAGGTTTTTTATCCAGTATTTATCAATTTTTTTTTTCATATTACCCTCTCCCCCAAGGAGCCTTTTTAGACATTTTTTCCTAATGTCCCCCGCTCTGTGAAATTTAATGCCACAGATATACCGTATATCTATGGCTTTTTGAAGAGCCACACACAATTGTAATATTTAAGATTTTTTAGTCCCCCAAGAACCAATTTTTGGCCCCTTGAGAGTGGTATCACTTCCACTGAGAATACATACCTTAATCAGACATGTGTTTTGCAAATATTTGCTCTGAATCTTTGGCTTGTCTTTTCATTGTCTTACCAATATCTTTATAAGGAGTTTTTAATTTTGATGAAATCCGATTATTTCTTTTATGATTTGAGCTTTTTTTTTTCCCTATCTAAAAGTTATTTGTCTAAACCCAGATCACAAATATTTCTCCTATGTTTTCTTCTGGAATTTTTATATTTTTAGCTCTTACATCTAGGTTTATGATCCATTTCAAGTTACTTTTTGTATATGGTACAACATAAGGGTCGAGGTCTTCTTTCTTTTGAAATGAATGCCCAATTTTTTAGCACTATTTGTTGAAAATACTGTAAATTCCCCATTTCATTACCTTTGGCATCTTGTCAAAAATAAATTGATCATGTATGTGGGGGTCTATTTCTGGACTCTTAGCTTTGTTCCATTGATCTATATGACTATCACTATGCAAATACCACACCATCATGGTTATATTGATAGCTTTATAGTGAGTCTGAAATTAGTATGACTCCTCTAGTTTTTCTCTTCTTTTTTAAAAATTATTTTGGCTCTTCTAGGTCCTTCATTTTCCATGTAAATATAGAATCAGCTTGACAATTTCCACAAAAAGCCTGCCAGAATTTTGACTGGCATTGAATTGAATCTATAGAAATATCTAGGGGAGAATTGACATTTTAATAATATTGAGTCTTCTGATCCATGAACATAGTTCATCTCTGCATTTATTTTGGCTTAAAAATTTTTTTCTTTCAGCGATGTTTTGTAGTTTTCAGCACACAAATCCTACACATATATTATTAGATTTATTCATAACTATTTTATGTTTGTTGAAGCTATTGTACATGGTATTTTAAAATTCCAATCCCAATTGTTCATTTCCAGCACGTAGAAATACAATTGATTTTTTGTATTTTGATTTTGTATCCTGTGACCATGCTAAACTCATATACTAGTTCTAAGAGCTTTTTGGTAGATTTTTATGGTAGAAAAAAAATCTATGGTAGATTTTTTTTTCTGTAGATGACCATATTGAATGTGAACAAAGTTTTATTTCTTCCTTTCCAATATATATGCTCTTTATTTCTTTTGCTTCCCTTATTGTACTGGCTAGGACTTCCAGTACAATGTTGAATAGAAGTGGTGTGAGCGGGCGTTCTTTGAATCTGTTATTAGATCTATTGAGATGACCATTTCATTTTTCTTTTTTCAGTCTGTCGATGTGGTAAACTGACACATTTTTGAACGCTAAGCCAATTTTGCATATCTAGTATAAACCCAACTTAGTTATGATGTGGTATTCTTTTTATACATTGCTGAATTATTTGCTCATATTTTTAAAAGTATTTTTGAGTCTATGTTCATGATGGACACTAATCTATAGTTTTCTTTTCTTGTAGTATCTTTGTCTGGTTTGGGGATCAGAGTAATGCTGGCCTCATAAAATGAGGTGGAAAGTATTATCTCTTCTTCTGTTTTCCGGAGGAGTAGTATTTCTTCCTTAAATGTTCAGTAGAATTCACCAGTGAAGCCATCTGGGCTTGGAGTCTTGTTTATGGGAAGATTTTAAACTAAGAATCAAATTTCTTTATGGAAAGTTACCTATTTCTTTTCAGATAGGCTTTGAGAGAGTGTGTCTTTTAAGGCATTTGTTCATTTCATCTAAGTTATCAAATTTATTGGCATAAAGTTACTCTTAACATTAGTTTATCATTTTAATTTCCCTAGGATCTGTAGTTATCTCTCTGTTTTCATTGGCAATTTGTCGTCTCTCTTTTTTTTTTTTTTGATCATTCTGCCTAGAGGTTTATTGGTTTTATGGATCTTTTCAAAGAAACATATTTTTGTTTCCTTGATTTTTTTGTTTTTCTGTTTTCTATTATATTGATTTCTTCCTTAATCTTTATTATTTCCTTTCTTCTACTTTGGTTTAATTTTCTCTCCTTTTTCTAGTTTTTAAGGTAGAAGCCGAGGTCAATAATTTTAAATCTTTCTTCTTTTCTAATGTCAGCACCATGGGGTCTACCAAGTCCTGTTGTCCAGGCTGCAGGACCTGTAGCACAGCTGGACCTGCTGGAGAACGCTTTCTTGCTTTGGGCCTCACTTAAGACTAGTATCCTTCCACATGACAATGAATGGGCAGGAGCAGTCTTCCCAAGTGTGGGAGTATGCTGCCTCCAAAATCCAAACAGGTTCACCAAGTACTGGGCTTCTTTCTTAGTGGTAGGAGGTACACAGTACAATCCTTGTGCTTTATTTTGGAGGGAATGTTCCACTGCTCCAGATAACTAGATCCTTAAGAACTTTGCTGATGCATACCTCTGAATCGTTTGCTTCCCATCCTTTGGAGAGCATGTATCTAACTGAGGCATCCAGAAGACTTGCCTTTTCTTGCTCCTCTGGTCCAATCAACATGATGTCATTGAGACAGGGCACTAATGTCAGATTCTGTAGTGTCCAGATGGTCCAGGTCACTTCGAATCATATTATGACGGAAATCAGAATTACCACATTCCAGGGCCGGTTGTAAATGTATGCTATTTTCTGTTGGATGTAAATGCAAACAGTTCTGAACCTCATTTGTGATAGGTGTGTGTAGTGGGTTGAATGGTAGCCCTTGCCCACCAATCCCCAAAGATATGTACTTCTGGAACCTATAAATGTGACCTTCTTTGGAATAAGGGTCTTTCAGATGTAATTAAGTTAAGGATTTCAAGATGAGATCATCTTGGATTAGAGTGGGCCCCAAGTCCCAAGATAAGTGTCCTCAGAAGACAAGAGGAGGGAAAATGACACACAGGGGAGAGGCGACGTGAAGATGGAGGCAGTGATTGGAGTTATGCGTCTACAAGCCAAGGAATGCCAAGGAATGCTGGCAGCCACCAGAAGCTGGAAAAGGCAAGGAAGGATTCTCCCCTAGAGCCTTCAGGGAACATGGCCCTGCCGACACCTTGATTTCAGAGTTCTGACCTCCAGCACTGTGAGAGAATACATTTCTATTGTTTTAAGCCACCAAGTTTGTGGTAACTTGTTACGGCAGCCCCAGGAAACTAACACAGATTGGAAAACGACACATTTGCCAGATCAGAAATTGCAAACCAAATACCTGAGGTTGTGTTTACCTGCTTTAGTAAATATACCACATTTGGTACAGGAACCACAATTTCGCCACTACTTGGTTGATCCTTTCCTCCACCATCTGCAATGATGGTTCTGGCGTCTCTACTTCATTTAACGCGAGCAATCACATTTTCCAAGCTTTTAAAAGCCATCTGAGCTGTGTATTAGACCCATCTCATGGGTGTTAAATCCTGTGCCAAATGAGAGGGCTCCCTTATCCATAGTTGTTCCCTTATCCAGCATTACATTCTGTCCAGCTTGACCCAACACCCCCAGGATCCACTCCTGGGCATACCCTCCCAGTCTTGCTGGTACATGTTCGCCAGGTCCTGCAGCTCCTTTGGCTAATAAACCCTCTGGCCCCTTAGCAGGCCCAGCACAGTTGACTCATGCTGAGATTTGACCCTAGAAATTCACCCGGTGGCCAGGAGGTTAAGTGGCAGCAGATCCCGAGGAGGGCCAACGCTGTCTTATAAGCCTCATTCGAGGCTCCTTGGATAGTCTTCTCACCAAGGGGCGTGGGCCACTTCTGCAGACCCAGAGGACCCAAAGTTCTCGAGTGCATGTACTCAGATGACCCTATCCCAAGTTTCAGAGTCCTACATCTTCCTTACCAGGGTCCTGACTTTGGTATAGAAAACTTGTCTAGGCTGAGAATTGAGATTCTATGCAGTTCTGTTCCTGGTGGTCAGCTCTGCGGCCTGCAGCTGCAGAGGATGAGGGGCTCTCGAATACTGCCACGGGGCTCTGGGTCTCTCACAGTTTGCTTCACCTTGTGATTGATCGCCCCGAGCCTGTCTTTTCCTCTTTGTAAGGCATCAGTGGCATTCATCAATGGGCACCCAGTTCCAAGTCCTTTTCTCTTATACCTCTCAAACATCAGAGCTCTTGCATAAGGCAGTCCCCCCACCCCCCTGCCCCGTATCCCATGCCACAGGTGGACCACAGGTGGCAGTCTCAGCAACTGCACTGCTACTGCATGCCACAGACAATTCTCCACTACCACCAGCGATGGGGTTGCCATTTCTTGCCAGCTGGCTACTTCAGAATCCCATCCCTTGAGTCTGTTTCCTAGGACCACTCCTGGTACTGACTATGTTAGCTCAGGTTCCCTAGAAGCAGATCCTGAGACGAAGATTCAGGAGCACATGCTTAACTGAGAGAGTTCTCTTCTGGAAAAGCCTGTAAGGGAAGGAAGCAAGCAAGATAAGAGGAGAATGAGCAGGGCAAGGCAGTAACCTCAGGAAAGTCCAGTCTTATCTGGGCCATGGCGATGGTCACACTGCAGCTGTTGCACCTCGAGGCCAGAGTCTTTTGTACCCCTAATCAGCTAGTCCTTGGCTGTGGGCTGCCCTTGCTGCCTGCTGGGGTTTAATTTCCAGGGCAAAGTAGCTCCCATCTGCTGAGGGCAATTCTCCAGAGAAGGGACAGTGGGGAGCCAGAAAGGGGGTCTGGGAGGGGACAAACGCATCCTGAAGACCCCATATAGTTCAAAGCCAACATAATTTAAGACTGATTGTTCCATGAGGTGGCATGTGTTGCATTCTTGGAACGTACAACTCTATAATGATAGTGAATCTTTTTCAGCAATGTTTCTGACATTTCACAGATCATGCACTCCTCAAATCACAGCACATCATGGTGCTTGTTTGGTCTTCAAAATAACTTTATCCCTTCCATTCTCTAGTCTAGAGTTACTGATATTTAGGGGTGTGTGTGTATGTGTGTGTGTGTGCGTGTGTGTGTTTTAGACAAACTCCACCCTTTAATAAATGCTTGGATGATGTTGTTAAGAGATTAAAATATATTTTGAATCATAAGATCAGTTAATGTTAATGATAATGCACATTAGTCCTCAAACTTACTGTCAGAAATTGTGATGGGGGAACAACTGCATGGGTGACACAGTAATGACAAAGGATAGCAGGTCCTTCTTTCCACCAACTAAAGAGGCATCGCCACATCACAGCAATATAAATGTAGTTTCAGCTCCTTTGACCTACTAGTTTTGAAATTACACAATTCTTGATGAATTGTTTTACTTTATA